TGACTTTTCCCCAGCATGTTCCAATTTTCTTATCAGCTGATTTTGAAATGCTTTCTGCTTACTTAAAGGCAAATAGTTTTAATTTTTACATCTTGTTAATTCTACCTCTAATTTAATAATGATGTTTCAGGAAAAGTAAAGATATATCTTATTAGATAACTTATCTTTAAAATGCTTCCTGACTACAAAGAAGTCAAAAAGTCAAAAAGGTGTGAAATCTAAAGTAACGAAATACAGAATTGCCAATAACAGAAACTGAAATTATAAAAGGAACTTAATGAAAAGTTAAATTCCAACCCATGAAAGGATATATTTTAAAAATCCTTTATTACATTCTACTCATGCCTGTATACTTCCCTTGACAGGGTATTATTCATTATTTCATTCTATGTACAACTAAGATTCTGATGTTACATACACATCTTTGAATTAATACCTCCAAATAAGTAGAAATTATTTAATCCAGAAATGTGGGAGAGTCTTAGCATTCTTACATATTTGACTATTTTAAAATACTAAATTGAGTCCCCAAATAGTAGATGCAACCATAGTAAGCTGAAATCATTATCTCTGAATAACCTAAAAATAGGAGATTGGCAGGATTTATTTCCTCATATTGTGTTGATGAAAATATTGCATATTAAATTTCTACCTTGATAGCATTATATACACAAAATATTATGTTAGAGAAATTTAACTTTCCTTTGAACTTATGGCTTATCTTTCTTCCTTGTATTTCAATGAGAGAAAAAATTGGAATATTTATAGCAGCTAGTATAATTATAACTGCAGAGGAGGCGAGTAGGATAATTGATAGAAATGAGAATAGAGCCATCTCCTAACAGACTCCTAAAAACTATTTTTGTAGTTTTTGTATGTGTAACTTTGCTTATTTTCAGTGTTTGTGCCAGTGAGTGTAATTTCACACATAGGTCCTTATATCTGTTTCTTAGAGTTTTGTCCAGATACAGAGCAAATAATCAGTATATGAGAAATGGGTTGTGAAAATTGAGGCTCCCTTGAGGAAAGATTAGTATTGCTAAACTTGAAAATAGAAGCAAGTTCTGTATTTTCTTCTCCAGGTACATCTCAGCTATCTCCATGTCAGATTTCTGATCATCTTGATGAGTTTTGTGTGGAAGGCCCTTAAGAGAGAGACAGCAGATGATGACTGACCCTGTAACTAAGTACCACTGGAGAGTAAAACTAGATAAAGACTTAATGATGGATGAGACTCATCATCTTTAGAAATGATAGTTAGCAGTATAGTATGAAGACTGCTAGGGGATATGGATCCTGCAAACTCAGGAAAGGTGGTGAAGATGAAGCACTAACATGTCTGATTTTCGTGGGTTTTTTTTTAAAGCCTAAAAACAGAAGAATTATTTTGCAACATATTTGAAAAATGCATTACATGAAGGGAACTAATTTTGCATGAGAGCTAGAAATAAGGAGGCAAAAAACAAAGATTTAATTATTTTATCTAATACTACCCAAGGTAAAGAGAAAATTGAATGTGGCAGTCAAAGGAATCTAGCAGGGGCTTCTGGGCTGCCAGACTTAAGCTTGGTATGAGCCTGAAGAAGCAGCTTGTGAATACTAGCACAGGCCCTCTGCTAAAAAAGCTCCTCAGAAGTAATATATGCCTTGATCCAAGAAAGTCCTGTCCTAGCTGGGATATGTCTGCATTCTGGTCTCAGGGAGAGGGTCACAATAGTCCAAGCAAATCAAATGGTGACATAAAGGGAGCCTGTCCTTAGAAAGATGATAGCTTCTGGATGAAGTGGGAAAATCAAGTTTTCAAATTTAGAGTGGTACAATGCATATCTGAAATCATGATGCCGCCTCCACACCCATTTACTGCTCCCCTTTTAGGTACTCTGGAACGTCTTACCATGTTTTCTTAAAATTGTCTTCCCTGACTGTCTAATTTCAAAAAATAAAAAGATGAATTTTTTAAATCAACATCTAGTTAGAGGTTATTTTTAAAATATTGATTAAAGAATATGAATTTCTGTATATGAGTACAAGGACTATTATAACTATTCTAAGAATATAAGATGTTAGCCATCTCTGTATTCATTCATCTTCCTTTAAAAATTGTTAATTTATCCTTAATATTTCCTTTAAAATACCTTCTTGGCTATCAAGCTTTAAATTTCCACAGCCAAGCCATTTGAAGTTGAAGGCAAATAACTCGAGATCATTGTAAAATAACACTGACTTAGATTATATGCTAACTATCCCTCCATAACTTTTCCACTTATAGTAGGTAGTATAAATATAGACACATTTATATAATGACTAACAATAAGTGTGTTTAACAGGTTATACAAACCTAAGATACCTCTAGACAAAAAGGTGCTTTTTCAATATTATAATTTCAATAAAACAAAATTTTAAAATGCACTCACTAAATGCAAACCATGTCTGTTTCAGTTGAAAGTACATGCTTAAGTCAATCTGAAGCCCGATGTCATACACAGTTAACTGAGAGTTTGGGTTTCCCTGAAGTTTGCAGTATTGTTGGTAACAGTGCCATATTCCTTGAAAAGGAAAGAAAAATAGACTAATATGAAATGTTATTTTCTGAGATATAAACTGTACACTTAGCACATATCTACATGAAACTGTTTAGCATGGTTTTCCTACAATGGCAGGATCCACATATACATAGTAACCTTTTTTGGACTCTAAGAATTTAAATATACTACTGTAATATATACCAATATTTTCAGGATTTGTCTGATACAGTGGCAAAATCTTGCCTTAAATGTCCTTTGACTAGAAACAACCTTAATGACCATCAATAGGAAATGATTAAACATGTCATGTACTGTCATGTAAAGAAAACAAAGTCTAGTAATTCTGAATGATCTCTCTGCTATTAAAAGAACAAGATACAAAATTATCTTTGCTATTATTTGTGTACTAAGGAAAACAATATATATTCTTCCTTCTACCTTAGAGAAGAAAACAAAAAAAGTTCTACTCTTTCTCCATGTATAGCCCAATTTCTTGTTCCTCATAATGAAAAGCTCTCCAAAATAGCCATTTATATTTCCTATCTATAATTTCTCTCCTCCCACCCTCTAATAATCTACTCTAACCAGACCATCTCCCTCATTATTTTACCAACTCTCTCTCTCCACATTTCTAAATCCAAAGAATCCAAAGCAGTTCTCGTCTTTGTTAAACTCTGAGCCTGATTTGACAAGGTGAATCAATCCCTCCTTTCCTCATTTGGCTTCTAGAACATCATTTGCTTTATGTTTTCAAAAAGAACTGCTCATTTCCAGTTGTTTTGGCTAGTCTCATCTTTCTCCCTGGTTATTAATGTCCAACGACCTCAGAGTTCAGTCCATGTTGCAATAACCACCCTGACTCCTAAATGTGATTCTTAAGTTAGCTCTTTACTCCCTGAAAGTCAGACTGCAGATTCACCTGCAGATTTGATTATCTTCATCTTCATTAAACTCAATAAACACCTCAAAAATCAACATGTCCAAAATTAAACTTCCAGTCAATCCCATTTCTACACCAAATTTGCTCCATTCCAACCTTCCTTATCTCAGTTTTTGGCAACTCCACCTTTCTAATGGTTCATGTTGAGACCTTAAAAGTCATTTTTGATTTCTTACTTTCCCTCATGAGCTGCAGTCAGTCCATTGGGAAATTCAGTTCGTTCTACATAAAAAAGCAGACATCTGCCCATTCTGATTGCTATCATTTTGGTCTGCATTTCCCTCATTTTGTACCTAGATAACTACCATATTCTCCTTACTGGTCTCATTGCTTCTTCACTTCAAAATTTTATATATTTTTACATCATTGTTCATTTTTGTATGTTTGATTATTCCTCTCAGATAAGTGTTGTCCCCATAAAATTAACACCACCAAGACACCCGTGAACTATTGTGCTCATCCCTCCTGCTTTGATCCTTTTCCTCTCCCTTCCCTGATGAATGTCTCCAATTTATAGTTTGATTGCTAGTTTTCTCTTTTTACCCCTACCCTCCATGATCTCTTGTATGGTTTCCCTGTAAGTGAAACTATCCAATATTTTTCTTTTTCCTTTTGACTTATTTCACTGAGCATAATCCTTTCCAGCTCCATCCATGGTGTTGCAAATGACATGAATTTATCTTTTTTGATTGCTGAGTACTATTCTACTGTGTACTTATAACACATTTTTCTTGATCCATTCATCTGTTTGGGGGCATTTAGGTTGTCTCCATATTTTAGATATTGTCAACAGTGCAGTAATGAACACAGGAAGGCAAATATCCTTTTGAAGTAATGTTTTTGTGCCCTTTGGGAAGATTCCTAGGAGTAGAATTGCTGGGTAATATGGTGGTTCCATTTTTAGTAATTTGAGAATCCTCCACACAGCTTTCCATAGTGATTGGGTCAGTTTGTATACACACTTCATTGCTTCTACTCTTGTTTCACTACAATCTCTTCTCCACACAGATCCTTCAGAGTAAAAGGAATTGCTTCTCCATTTCACTCAGAGTAAAAGGCAAAATCTGATGATAACCTACAAGTGTCTAACCTTCATGAATTCTATAACCCTCTTTTAACTTTACCCTTTACTCTGTATACATATCCACATTGTTTTTTCTATTCATTTCTTCCATATACTGTGCTCATGGTATGGATGTTTCCTTAGCTCCAGTGGCTAATTCTATGGCCTCCTGTAAGGGTTTTCTAAGATCTCTTTTCAAAAAGGCCTGCCCTGCTACTGTAATTTGTACTCTTTGCTCTGCCATGACAGACTCAATCCCCTTTTTCGGTTCCACTTTTTCTTCTTTTCATGGCAAACATCACCTTCTAACATAATTTCTTTAGGTTATAAACATCAGGAAAGTAAGAACTCCCTGCCTTTTGTTTTCTGTTATACCTCTAAAGCATAAAAGTATCTACATTGTAGTGGTGCCCCTGATATTTGTTGCATTAAGAAAAAAAGGATGAAAGACTAGATAGGGACATCTCTTCCTTTATTTCCCTTGGTATAGTTAGAACTCCTCTATCTATGGATTCATACCTTTTATCAGTTCTAGAAAATTCAGCCAGTAACTTTCAAATATACTGGTACATATTAGGCCCTACTCAACCTATTCTTTACCTCTCTTATCCATACCACCATATTCTGATCCTTTATCAGTTCCTACTGTGTTTTGGACAATTATTTCAAATTAATTTTTCTATTCATCAATTCCCTATTCAGCTGTTTATTAATTCAATGCTTAATCTGTTCCTTTACGTTCTATTTGATTAATCTTCATACATGCCTAGATATTTTTTAATGATTTCATATTTTTAAAATTCTACCTCTAATTCGAAAACATGGTTATTTCACACTCTATATGGATTCCCTTATCTGACATATTGGGATATTCCCATATTCTGACCTCATTTATAGTTTCTACCATCGCTCCAAAAAGACAATTTCCTTAGATGTTTGGTTATCTTTGATCAAGAACCAAACTTTTTAAATCTTAATCTGTGACCAAAACTGGGAATTTTTATCTAGAAGGGATATCCACTTGTTTCTCTTGGCAGCCAGAGAGTACTACCAAACTGGGATCATTGTTGGTACTTTTCTAAATTCTGAGTATATTCTAGGATTTCAGGTCTGGTTCCCTCCCCTGCTGCTGGCTCTGAACTAAATCTCCTGATCGAAGCCCTGGTATAACAAATATTTCACACTTGCTTCTCACTCAGTTCCCTAATGGAATTTGAGCTCATGTTTTTTTCTTTCTCTTTTGGTGTAGTTTTCTTTATTCCCTGAAATTCATCAAAAAGAATACATTGTATAAGACAATGCAGTACTATGTTATGCCATTATTTTACAGCAAGATGATATGTGACACTATTTAGTTCCTTCACTAGTATGGATGTGAAAGTCTCAGCAATGCTTTCCTATTTCTTTTACTATTACTTTCCTTCTCCTGTCCTAGCATTTTTTTTTTTCTTTCAAGGTATGACTCCTATGCTTCAAGTCCTCTTTTTTCAACTTATTCCCACATGACAAGAATAAAAGAGGCTATTTGTGGAAAATTTACTATGCGCTAGGCTTCTTTTTGAGTGTTTTATGTGCTCTATTTTATTTAACACTCACAAGTTCCAATTGTACAGCTGGGGAACCTCTGTATTAGAGAGACTATACTTGCAGCAAACCACACCGTTAATATGGGACTGGGTGTTTTTCAACCTCCAAATCTGTTCTTTGGAACCTAGTATTATATCTTCTGTTAACTATTAACTTGGATACCGGCCTGCAAATAGTTTGGCTTTTTTCTCTGCTCAGCATGGCACATTTTCATTGTCCTTTGTCCTAGTAAGCAAGCTAATGTCTGGATAAAATTGGTTTCCCATGATATCAAAGGTTGGCTGTGTAAGATAGTAGTAGAGCTCACTGACACACAGTCTTATATTTCCTAATATAGTGGACACGTCACCACCCAATGAATAACTCCATGCTTACTTGTTTACCACTACATAGGGAGTCAACAGAGGGCTGAAATTGGTTGTCCTACCTGCACATTTTATAAATTGTAAATTGACCATCTTCCTCCCTCCCCCCTCCCCGCCCTTTGCTGCTTTGGGATTGGAACTACAGCCAGTCTCATATTTTCCTTGCTCCTTAAGACAAATCAGTGAAACATTCACAGACATTGCTGCTCTTTCCTTTCTTGATGATAGCAAAAGAGTGAATTCCTGCACAGATGAGAGTGAAAAAGGAAAGGGGCTATTTTGAGCAAAAAGGAGGAAATATAAAAAATTTTAAACAAAAGCTTTCTTGGAATTTCTGATTAGGGAGTTACAGTTCTTGTGGTCATCTACCAGCCTGACCCACCTCCTCATGGGCAGTTGCACAGTAGGGGCAGATAAGGAAAACCTGAAAGAGACCTGAGTGGCTGTCTAGAAATTCACTGAGGAAAGGGTGAACCAAACAATATTCAATACATAGTGAGCATTGACTCTATTCCAGGCTTTATATTCAGCATCTCACTCTTATGAGATAGAGATACCATTTTTGTGCCGATGTTATGGATAAGGGAGCTGGGTCTTAAAAAGAAGCATTTCCAAAGTCACCCAGCTCCATATACTGGAGATGGGATTAGAACTCAAGTGAACAACAAAGTCTGGAGACTCATCTGCATCCTTTGATTGATTTGTGTAAAGCTCTTATCCCAGTGACAGAAACAGGAAATTTTCAGTGTGTATTTTAATTGTCTACTCATAAAGCTGCATTTTCAATGCAAATGGTGTTATAAGGAAGCTCCTTCTTTTGATTTTGATCGGAGAAGCTTCTTTGGAATCTTTTGAGAAACTTCTCAAACATTTAAGTGTTGACCTATATTTGTTAAAAGACTGAAAGGATGCTGCTGTAAGTGCTATACTGTTCTTTATAAGAAACTTGATTTTTTTTTTAAAGAGTTCACATTATGCAACAATTTGGAAGGATTTGAATTAATGGTTAAATTTCAGCCTTGTAATAAGGTAATTCTCTATCTAATGAGTGTAATTCAAAATATTTGCCTCTAGAGGGTGATACCTCATTATGGAGTAATGGCCAATTATAGAGATATGTGACAGAACAGGGCTTAAAAGTACGAAATTGAAAGGGAAAATAGATTACACTTAAAACTATGCAGAACTGACCTGTGATCAGGTAGAAAAGCTAAAGGAATAAAAGGACTTGTCTGAAATGTCCTTTATTGACCTCAAAGAGATTCTTTTTACCTCCTTTTAATTTCTGACTTCATTTTGATTTTGATCTGAGAAACTTCTGAGGAATCTTCTGAGATGCTTCTCAAACATTCAAGTATTGATCTATATACTTGTTAAAAGACTAAAAGGGTGCTGCCTTAAGTCCTATACTTGTACCTCATAACACAAGGTGTGGGACCAAGGCTGATAGGCAAATGGGGGGAGCACTGACCACATACTGGTTTTTTGTTTGTTTGTTACTGCAGTTGTGTTAGTTAAAACACTGTATATGTTATAGTTGTATATATCTCTTTGAATGTAGGTTACCACAACACACCTACAAGGCACCCATAATCCTTCACCACAGTCCACACTCTTTCTATTCCCTGCTCCTTCTCCTCCTCCCCCTCTAGTTATCTTGGTGTTACAATAGGATTTCAAGTGTATGCTTGAGTTTGGTTATTCCTTTGCTTTGTTTTTTATATGAATAGAAGATTTGATAGTACTTTTTCAAGATAAAAATTTAAAGACACAAACTATGACAAATTAAATAACTTTTCTTAATTTGACACTTTCTGAGATAAAGAATAATTAAATTCAATGCAAATAAAATGCTTTATGGTGACTGGTAATTGCAACTGAAAAGGAAGTTTGATATTGAAGATTTTAAGATGGGTGATACCTACCATAGCCTATAATGCCAATCACACCCAACACGAAGACCCAGAAGAGGAATCCAGCTGTATACCTCAGAAGTAGCACAAACAGCCAGCTGAGGAACATGGCGATAGTGAAGCCACTAGAGGACAATACACACAACAAAACAAGGGTCAAAAGTGCTAAACTTAACAATCAAAAAGGCAAGACTGCATTTTTCTCGGTTCAAAGTAACGCTTAGATTATCTTCTTTTACCTAGATACAGAAACATTTAGAAAGTATAATTAGGGCCTCCCTGGTGGCCTACAGGTTTAGGCTCAATGCTATCACTTCTACTGCCTGAGTTTGATCCCTGGCTAGAGAGCTGACCTACATATGGCACAGCAGATCTCTTCTGCCTTATTCACTGCTCCCCATTATTAGTGTATTTTAATAAATCTACATGTTCTGCTCCACACTCTGTCTCTACTGAATTCCCTCACCCCTTGTACCTATGGCCTATACCCCAGTTCTTCTATACACAAAAAAATATAAATAATGTTTTCTATTAACTTTAACATAGAAGACTAGGACATTAGAGACCTCCTGTATGTGTCATCTATGTGTGCACAGATTAACCACAGTCCAGCATCAAGAAAAGTGCAATTCCTCCAACTTACAATTTTGACCTTTCTGCCACAGTTGTCAATTCTTATTTTTTTCCCTTAACAACCCACCAAGTGGTATATTGTCAAATACATTCATGATAAATGTGTGCTGTTGTTTATAAGTAATATAAACCTTCTGCAATATGACTGTTTGGAACAGTTAAAATCTAGAACTGGCTAGAACAAGGGAACAGTTTGGGTTAGAAAGACAAGAGAAATAACTGATCCACATAGTTCCTGAATCATGACTTTGTAGTCATTATCACCATAGTCTAATTAACTGTAGTAATTGTTGATGATTAATGTCACCAGACATCTATTTGGAGCAACAATAAGGCTTCTGTTTTTCCTGAGCAATGTAACTTTATGGAGCAATCTATTTTCCTTCTATTTTAATTTCTTTCTGGGCTTTGATAAGCTATAAAGATACTTCTGTTCTTCGCTCCCACAAAATACATCCAGTTTCTCTTAGGTAATTTCATCAAAGCAAATTCATTAAGTTTGGGAGATTCATTGATGTTTCTGTTAAGTACTGACATTTCTGTTGCTATCGGCAAACTTCCAAATGTAACAACAAAGACTGGTACAATTACTGGTTTTACTATCTTCAAGTGTTAACTTTAGAAACAAAATCTTAATAATCATTGTCACTGGATAGATGACAGCATGATATCAAAGTACCTTCTTAGGTCACAATCTTGCAGAGTCTATGATTTAATTTCAGAAGCCATTCCCTTATAAAATCAGAGATACTGTAATATTTACTGATACTTTTGAAGGATTATTCTTTGGTATAATTCAAGGGGAATATTAAAAAATATGGTCAGACCTAATGTTTTTAATTTTCTGCCTTTTAAATTCCAGCATACTACTCTACAAATACTATTACTTACATATGATACATTTATAATTTTATTAGCCAGCTTGTAGCTATCTACTATCTACCTTATTCCCCCAGGAGTTTTGTTCCCTTACTGTTTCTTGAACCCATGTTTTCCATGCATCTTCTATTTTCTGAGAAAATGATTTAGGATTTAGTAAAATAAAGATTATTTAGACTTATTTACAGTGGTAATGAACTTATAATTTATTGAGTGGAAAAAGGTAAATAAAATACAAAATTGTCAGTGCTCCATAAAGACAGCTATCTGTGTGTATGTATAGATGTGGGTACACATTGTTACACATACACACACATGTGAAAATGGGTATGAGGAACATAGAAAGGGAAGTAACTAGTTACATCTGGGGAAGTCACAAAAGACTTCATAAATGAAACAAAAGTTGATTTTGGATAATGAGATGGAGATGCTCAAGAAAGGAAGGATATGCTGGGAATGTATAAAAGTATGGGGGGGGGTTGTACTATGTGATGTATTTAGAATATAGGGTTAATCATGAGTAGAGCTGAATTTGGGAAACTAAGTTGGGTCAGGCTGTAAAGGGCATTGGAAGAGCATGAAGTTTTCACTTTATTCTCTGATTTTTATAGAACTACAGATAGTCTTATGGTACTAGAAAATGATATAGGAACCAGATAGCAATGACCATCTTAGATACAGCAGACACACATATCCACTCCAGTGGTGACTGAATTTTCCTTTATCTTTCCAGGAATGCAAATCTTACATCTAAACATTTTAAGTCTCTTCCTCTTCTCATAATTCAGCTCAGTGACTTATGATGAGGATGACTGTAATCACTATGTAGAAGGGATATATTAAAAATAAGGATGATTCTTCAGAGGTTGAGGAAAGGACAAACACGGAAACAGAACCCGAGCAATATGTCACATTTATAGTAACATGTGATATGAAGCAAATGTACATAAATGCTGCCCCAATCTCTTGAAGTATATGTGTGTGAATAATTATACTTTACTAAATGAAATTAAAATTTACTTCTTGTAACTTTCTCCTCTTACTAGGCATATTTACAAATATGTATGTTCCAGCCTTACCTTATTTGAAAGAAAAATGGCAGGGCCCGAGATGTACATCAACATTGTATAATCACAAATATCACTGAGGTATTTGACGAAAGTGTTCTATAAAGATAAATTCAGAATGGGGCTGGAGAAGTAACACCTCTGATTTTACTTACATGAGAATCCAATACCAACTTGTTGCATAATCTTCAAACACTTTCATTCCAATTGTCCTTGAATCAAGGATTTTATTGATATGACTGAATTCAAAGAAGAAAAAAATCAATTAACTTTTGACTACCTCAGAACAGAAATGCTCTTGTTATTATAAAAGGGGTTTTGTAAGCTACTGTTCCTAGCCACAATAAATGTCACTTCAATAAACCCACAAAGGTGGCTATAGCTATACACAGAAAACATGGCTTTCTAATGTATGCTGTATGCTTTCAATATTGCAGAAATCTCACTATGATACATGAATTTAAGTAAGGCCAGTTTTGAAGTTACCAAGAATGAACATTTCCACTAACCCCTTCTTAATATATCTTTATGGTAGGGAGGTACGTTGGGGCACTTACAAAACAGTGAACAAATTAGCATTGGTTTGATGAATTATCAAAGTGAACTCATTCATGTAGCTACAATACCATTCCCCCTTTCCCATATGTACCCCAATTACAGAACCTCTCCTTCCTGTAAGTGGAACACATTCCGACTTTTTGGATACTAGTTTACTAATTTTCTTTTAGTTTTACCACTTATATAGTCACCACAGAATAACTTAGTTGTGTTTGTTTTAGAATTTTTGGGGCAGTGTAATTGTACTTAATTATTATTTTGTGATTTCTTTCATATCTTGATATTTTTGAAATTCATCCATTTTGCTATTATGCTCTAAATATGAAGAACTGCATTACTTAGATGGCTAACGTATTTAATGAAAGAGAAATATTTTAAATTTATTTTTCATTTTAATTCAACAACTGAGTTCTGAAATGAAACTGTATGTTTATGTTTGTGGATATGTGTTTGGATTCACCCAGGGAATTATGGGTGATAACATTGATACCAGGATGTGTTCAGCTAAATGAAACAGCGAATTTACTTCTTTGTACTTCAACATGGAATTTTGACCTGACATTGTCATGGATTTCTTGAAACAGAATCATCATGGTGATTTTGCCTGTTTTCAGTTCCTCTTTCCTTTATAACACCTGACAGTCATGATATTAGCTGCTTTTTTAAATATGGTACTTTCAAAAGTATTGGACTTTTATTTATTATTATCATGTTCATTCAAAGGAATATTAAGGGGTTTTCAGTACATTTTCAGTGGCTCATTTCTAAATCTTTTGATAATGAAATATTGAGTCATTCTGAAAAAAAAAACTACTGTTTTTGATTCTGGTTTGTCTTTTACATATCTTTCTTAATGCACACAGTTTTTCAATCCACAGTGGCAGTTATATTTCATAATACATAACCTCCCCTTATTACCCTAGTATATTGGATGCACAATTATGGGGTTCATTGAAACTGAAAAATGTGAATGTAAACAAACATACTTTGCAGCTTCTCTCAGTTCTATAGCATTTCTTGTCTTTCCACTTCCATCTTGGAACTTTGTCTTATTTCCTATTGTTAAAGTGCCATTTCTAACAGAGAAGTCAGGGAAACATCTCTGGAGAACTGTAAAAATAAATTAAAATTATGATAACCACTTTTCTACTTCTTCCAGAAAAAATGTCCTGTCTTCCTCAAGCTATTGCTAGTTCTAATCAAATACTTGCTAGATGACACATAAATTGCACATATAGGCGATTACTTTTGCACTGTTATTCGAAAATTTTCTGATGGTTCTAAGACTGACAAAGCAAACACAATGACAATTTGAAACTATATTCTAAATTTGTTGATTACTTTATGCATGGTATATTCACACAAGTAGGCATGAATAAGATGCACAGTACAGGTTTTAAAAGAGGAATAATTATAATGTATCGCTCATGACAAACACATTTTAATGAAAAGGCTATATTAGCTTGGATAAATTTAGTATTAAATTTTTTTGAGGTTCTCAAGTATAGCCTTAAAAACTGGGAATTTATAAATATTCCCATGAGAACTAAAAACTAACTTAAAGCTACAAAGTCAACTGAAATTTTGTTTTAAAATCTTAAAAATGTCCCTTCCAAATTTTTCTTTTTTGTTGGGGGAAGAGTGGTGTGGGGGAAAGAGCTAGAATGGATTATATAAAGCTAGCCATAATGGTTCACACTCTGTAGACTAGCATGATTTCTGAGAAAAACTGTTATCTTTATTAAATAGAATCCTTGCTGCTTTACAAAGCTATATTAATAAAAATACTTTAAACTTCCAATTTTAAATGAAGATGAAACAGAAAAAAGAACATAATTTGTGTGTGTGTGTGTGTGTGTGTGTGTGTACGTGTATAGACATACATATATATATAGAGAGAGAAAATCACAGATATCCATTCCATGGGTTCACATGGAGTTTAAATCTGAAAATATTAAATCAGTTAATACAGGGGGAAAAGAAAACCCTATCTTTAAAAAATCCTTTCCTGCCTTAAATCTTCAGTAGGTACTGATAAAAATGCTGAATCCTGCCCTCTGCCCTATCTTTCTGCTCTTCCTCGGCTAGTAGTCTTCTACTGCTTCTATGTCTTCTCCATCCAATCATGTACTGCCCCCGCCATTGCATGGAAGTTGTCATCCCAGTGATTTTTAATGATGTCCTAATTGCCACAACCTCTAAATACTTTTTCATTTTTGTTCTACTCAAATCCATCAGTGTATAGTGGAAATTGGTAAATATGGCTGTTGCATAATTTTTCTGAGACTTTGTCAGGGAAGACATCTCTGACCTTTTGAAACTCTCTTGTCTTTGTTTATATGCCCAGATTCTCTCCTGTCCTCCCTCATGCCTTTTTGTGCATTCCTTACCATTTACACTTCTTAGGTATAACTATTCCCAACTACAGAGACTCCCAACATAGTACTACTTATTGGTGGCGGTCTCATTCAGTCTGCTAGCTTCAATAATTAAATATACTCATTATATATTTGGAAGGCAAAGAAAACTACTATACATAATTCTACCACCCACAGCAAACTATATCAATATTTCAGTGAATCTTCTAGTCTTCTATAAGAAATATTTTAGAGTTATAACCATACATACATACAGTGTTTGCCCTCATTTCTTTTAATGCTATTTTTAAAACTTTACAAATTCTTTAATGGGTGAATTTTATTACATTCAGCACTATACTTAACCTCCTAATAGGGCTGCAATACAAATTGGTTGTTATGTTTACCTTAATGCCTTCTCACTATACATACATAAGGGATTAAGCCTTATTTATTTATATATCCCCAATATATATATATATACTTTATATTGTGTGGCAGAAGCAAACTATTCTTGCAAACGCAGGGACTATTTTTTATACTTTTATACCTATTTTATCTTCATAAAATAGGTGACTAATTCATTTTATTATAGTATATTTTTTATTTAATATATTTTACATTGTTTCACTTTTGTACAATATGTGCTTTCTCATACCAGTTATATTCCACATAAAATTCCCACCACTGTATACTTATTTTTTACCAAAAAAAAAAAAAGCAACACTGTTCTTGGCCATAGTGCTTGTTGCCCACGGTTTCCTGATAAAAGCTTATAGGACCTGCATCCTTGCTTCAAGATCCTTAATAGCCCTGAAAAGAATGTTTAGAGCAGGTAAGACACTATGTTTGGTGACAGCTGTTTCATTGGTAACCAGCTTTTTACTCAAATTGATGACTATTGTGTCTCTTATTTTAGATCTTCCACAATCTATATATACATATTGTGGAACATTAGAGAAATAAAAATAAAGGAGAGAAAATGCCTGTAAGTTTTCCACTTCCAGAACAACTGCTTAATATTTTAGAATTTTGCTTTCCAACCATTTTCTGTGAATATTTAAAAAAAATTCTATTTTATTTTTTCTATTTATTTATTTTTTTCTATTTTCTATATCTATTTTGATGTATACATGTGTCATTATAGTGCATATAATACTTTGCATTCTATTTAACAGCACAACATACACCTAATACTTATATTTAATAATGCTAACATACTCCATTTAATAAAAACATCATAATGATTTTATGTATTCTTGCTTTTGAACATGAGAGTGTTTTTCCTTTCTCTTATTTTTCTTGGATCTTTTGAATTATATATATATATATATTATAATGGACATTTATGTAAATTTTTTCTTTGTAGTTAGGATTCTCTCCTTAAGAAAGTAAAATGAGTGATTTTTTCTCTTTATCTAAACAGAGTATTATTTTAAATGGTTCATAATTTCAGAGACATAAGACATTAATTCATGCAGGAGATATATAAGTATTTCAAAATTTAAATTATAATAACAACTATGTTCCACTCATATTGTCTAGGCAATTTCTGAAAAAGCTTTATGAATACTTTGGTGGTGGGTGTAGTATTGCAACACACACCTAAAGGTAGCAAGCCTATACTTCTAAGTCACATACAAGGTTGTAGACCAATGTTGCCTCAACTAAAAAATAATTTAGGGGTGGGCTAAATTTAGGGGTGGATATGTAAAAGCATGCCTGCATGTGTGTTTATGCATATTCATGCAGCCCCCAAATATTGGGATTTTTAAAGACACATTTTCAATCTATGTGTATTTTTATGTAGTAAAACCCCAAAACCACAGGGTTCCAATGGAAATTTATGTGGCAGGGGGTAAGAGAATGGATGTTAACTTTGGGTCTCTACCAAATTAACTCTGAGACATTGGGCCAGTCAGTCATAGGACTTTTCTTGGCCTTAATTTCATCAATTATGAAATAAGGGAACTAAATTTAATAACTTCTGTGTTAAACAAGATCTAGGAGGATCTTTGCTTTATGTTCTAAAATATAATCTTTTTCTTACTACTCAAGACAGTTTCAATAGACATTGCCTTACTCTGGATGCTAAATAAACAAACAAATAAATGACTTCTAGGTAAATTCTGTATTCCTAAGATAAAATAATAAACACTTACAAGGTTTGCTTGGAAAAATTGCTGATGGACAATCATCATCAATTAAAAGTTGTGCAAGAGTCTAAAATGGAAGGAAGAATATGTTAAAGTTGCAAATGTTATGTGATGAAAACTTTTATTTTCAATATAAAATTTTTGTCTTTTAAAAATTTAATTCCACAGTATCTCACTATTCCAATTAAGTATCTTAGTAAGAGTAATTGTAAGGTTATCATACATACATACTTTTTGACATTCTTCAATGTCCTAACTGTAACTCAATTGAATCAACAATAAAACCACACACACTGAAATCAAGACATATTCTTGAAAGTGTATATCTTTTAGTCATATCCTAAAGCTCTAATCTTTCAATTTTATTTTTGTAAAGATAGCATCATGTATAATTTAGAAGCTATTATTACTACTTAAGATAATAAGTTTTTGGAGCTCCCTAGGTGGGTTTTTAATTTTTTAAAACTAAATAATTACCAAACTGAACCTGGAAGTAAAATTCTACATGTTACTAAGTACCAGTGGATCTTCATCACCATTTAATGAAATGGTAACTGCAAATGACATTAGAATATAGCAAAAAATCTATCCACATGGAGAAATTTTTTCAGGGAATAGTTGAAGTTATCTTGCAGACTTAGTAGTCTCAAATAACACCTCAAGTCTGCAAAAATGATATGCTTTAAATAATGTGTGTGTGTGTTTATATGTATAGGTCCATTTGTTTTTAATTTAATGCAATTGTTTCCTTAGACAATAATTTCCTAACTTTTCTGGTTACTAATGTTCAAGTAACTTTTGAAACAAAGTTAAATTGCTTTTCTAGTTTTAAAATAAAACAGACATACCTTGGCAGGCTGTACAGTCATAGACTTGCAGAACTGTCTGTAGTATGTCCAATATTTTTTGTCTTTCTTGTATGTAAACTGCATGTCTAGGTAAGTTAAAAATTTTTCTGGGCACTTTGAGACACAAATCTACAAAGTAAAGGAACACAATGGTAGGAAATGATTTGAAGTGAATAAACCAGTAAATATTTACAGGGTTGAATTTCTAAGTTATCTACTATAATAAAGGGCAAATCATCACCCTTTATCTAAGAAACTTAATTTCCTAATCTTATTGTAACAATGAAACCTCATGCATTATCTCTACTTCTTGTCTTTTGATGTTTATGCATCAAACATGATGGACTTAACTGCTGATTTTGCAATAACAGAAGTCCTATATTCAGCTATAATAAACAATGGATTCTACATACATTTCACTCAGATTTACTCAATGGTAATAACTGTGTAGCTACACATAATATCACAACTCTGAAACTGATGCTGTTGTAATATGGTAACATTAACCTCAGATTTCATCACTTTTACATGCAATCATGTGTGTGCATATAGTTCTATGTAATTTTATCATTTTTTGAATTAATAAATGAGAGTATAATTCAATACTAATATTGCCTATGTAGTTTATGCATTTTCAGGTTTAGAATATTGCTTCCTTGCCTATAAATAAATAAAATGGAGGTTAAAAACATGATAGACACGGACTTATTCCTCTAGTAGCAAATAATATTGAGTGAATGTTCAACAAGTCTCAAAACATAATTCAGTTTCCATGACCATAAATACTAATGAAATTAGGACTATTTCTGGCAAACCATTATCACTATAGTCTTACACTAACACTAGTCAAATGTGGGTACAGAGGCATTAATGCAGTAAGTAATTTTTAAAAAAGGTTTACTTATGCATACAAGAAGCTGGGTGTAGGTCAGAGGTGAGAGGATTCACCAGAGACAGAGTGGGGAGCACAACGGGCAGATCAATTGAAATACACTGCTGAGGGGAGGAGGAGAGGCCTGCTGTGCCATGTGTGGGTTAGCTCTCTGGCCAGGATCAAATTAGGCAGCAGGGGTGATAGTGCTGAGACTTAACTTCAAGACCACCAGGTACAATTATTTTGTATTAGTGAACTTTGGTACCAAACCCAATCACTGTGCTAGCACAGATTCACTGTGGGGTGACTGAATATGATTAGTAACTCCACAGAGAGAAAACAGTCAGAAGAATAACTTAGTTGGTTTGTTTTTATTAATAATAATAACAATAAAAGAGAACTACAGTCAGTCCTTGTATGTTTTCTCCTCCCCTATAGTTCTCTGTGAAAATCCTCTCAGCTCTGCTCTGACTCACTACTGTACTGCGGTAACTATTCTCAAGACCACATTGTCAAGAAATCAGTCCTTACAGGCAGTTAGGTGAACACATTGCTTCAGAGCTATCTCTTTCTCATGTTTTTCTTTTGGGTCATGTTTCTGCTATACACAAGGACATTTGGTATTGATCTCCCAGTTACAGCCCTAGGTAGACAGCTAAAGAGAAAACTCAAATCTCACAGTTAAGACCATCTTAACAGCAGTCCAGTTTCTTCCAGAGGTTTTGACAAGGTAAACAACCATTTCTGATTTCACACATCCATGTGAATGTGCTCTTTATTGGTGTCTGTTATACAAAAATATATACATATGCACATGCACACACACATAGATTCATGTAACTGAGGAAATACTGGAAGCGTCACAGGTAACTTCCAACAAAAGTGTAGAACTGCCTAGGAATATTCATAATATACAACATGCTCACATATTTGGGGGAAGAAGGCTAGAGTTATTATAAATGCAAATTCCAAAAGTTTGATTGATGTTAAGTTTAGTAAACCATCAATACATTAAGTGAAAGCTCATAGATATTTATTAGGCTTTACTTACATGATTTTGAAAGATAACTGAATTAGGTATATTTAGATACCTAGGTATAATTTAAATGGGGTACAAAAGTGAATCTGAAAGTGTGAATATTTTTACAGATTTTACATGGTGGGATGAACTACTAAATTGGGGCATGATGATTTCCATATTTACACACACACACACACACACCACACCATATATATACCACCCATATATAAGTGCAGTGTATGCTCCATCAAAAATGTAATTAAAATGGTAAAAAGTGATTTGTTGGAATGAAATAATGTTAAATTCCATTCCAGATGCAAGTGGGTTGTTAAAAATAGTGCATAATCTGGGCCTCCATGGTGGTGTAAGGGGTTAATTCTTAGCACTATGAAGCTATCAGCAGCCACTGGAATACAAGTTCAATTCCCCTGCCAGGGAGTTACCTATATGATGCAGCTGATCTCTCCTGTCTCACTTGCTACAGCAGTTTATTTCAGTGCACCTGTCTGTTCTGCTCCCCAGTATGTCTCTGGTAAAACCTCTTCCCCACCCCTTCCCCATGCCACTGGCCATTACCCCAGTCTTGTATGCATAAATAAATAAAATAAATCTTAAAAAATACAAAGCATCAATTTCTTTTTCTTTTCTCCCTCTATCAGGCCAACTTATTCACTTGGATGATCAGTAGGATGCTGATTATAGCAGTCAATGTGTATAATTAGCTAAAAATGAAGGACACGTTGAGGCTGGGCATCCTTAATAGATCACAGTCTCTCCTTGAAAGATTTGTGATGAATATCTAGGCCATACAAGCAGTTAAAAAAAACCATAATGCATAAAATATGGTTTACAAGAGGAGATACATTAAGCCTTGGCAGATAAAAGCAAGTTTGCATTATTGATAGGTAAAATAAATTTTAACTCAGTTCCAATTCTTTGTGTATCCACAGTGGTATAATTTCAATTTATGTAGTTTTAAACACACTAATACAAATTAAGATTTGATGAATAGTAGGAGTTACACCAAAGAAAACACACTACATTTGCTATGAAAAAAATCCATCACAGTCATCATCATCCATTTTTTCATAGCAAATATAGTGTGCTATCTTTGGTGTTAACAACCGAAATGACCAAAAATAGATGACTGTATCAAGAAGATGTGGTGCATATACACACTGTAATATTATTCAGCAAAAAAAAGAAAAAGAAAAAGATAATCTAATGTCATTCACAACGACATGGATGGAGTTGAAGGGATTATGCTCAGTAAAATAAGTCAGGAGAAGGGCCCTCCCTAGTGGTGCAGCAGGTTAAAGCACAGCACTGAGAAGCTAAAGCCACTTCCGCATGAGTTCGATTCCTGACTGCCCCGGGGGTGACCACAT